GGGTATACATGTGACAAGATGGGCAGACCCTAGATTCATGATGGCAGCCTAACCTTGGTCCTCCTTGGGCGGGTTTGACCTCTCTGGGGTCTCCTACAAGGAAACAGACGACTACTACCCTTATCAGAAGGGAGTGGGCCCTACTTGCTGTGGGATAAACAGTGGTGTCTGCTTGCTCTAGATGGCAGATAGCTCTTAGGGAGAATAACCCGTAATCTACTTCTGATGACCTCCAAGTGTATAGTCATTTCGCAAGCAGCTGAGTTTGGCATCTATTTGGCGGAGACAACTTGGGAGAAATCCTTCTGTTTCCCACAGTGGGGCAACCACTACACCACCAGGACTCTTTAGACAAACAGAAGCCAGGAGTAATACATGTTACAGGTGGGGGGGGGGTATTATTTCTAATTGCATCAAATATCAATGGCTGTCCCCCACCACAGTGGGGATGCTTATAATGGATTTGGCAATGAGGGAAGAACCTCTGGAGGTGGTGGAAGCTACAGTGATTTTGGCGATTACAATATTCAATCTTCCAATTTTGACCAATGAGGGAGGAAACTTTGGAGGCAGAAACTCTGGCCCACGTGGACGTCAACACTTTGCCAAACCACGAAACCACGGTGGCTGTCCTGGCTCTAGCAGTAGCAGTTGCTGTGGCAGGGGCAGATTTGAGTGACTCCCAGCAGACAAAGCTTAGCAGGAGAGGAGAGCCAGAGAAGTGACAGGGAACCTACAGGTGACAACAGATTTGTGAGCTCAGCCCAGCACCGTGGCGGGTTGGCAGGGCCTAGCTGCTACAAAGCAGACGTGTCTTGGACAATGCCCGTGTGCATGGACCAAACAACTTGAGGACTGCATTTGTGACTAAGTATGACAGGTTATTGTCGTTTCTGTTCCGTGGAAAGTGTAAAGCAGTCCAGCAAACGGTTTCAATGTGTCTCTTATGTTTTCTTTTTCGCACCCATGATTGCCACATGTAATAGTCTGCTCATGCCGCTGAATCAATGTCTTTTTTTAAAAGTTACAGACTTAAACGTAAAGGGGCACACCTGCCCTGTCTTTGGCGTCACTGAATTGACAGCCAGTTTCGCTTGGGTTTGGCGCCCATAGTGGAGACCTCCACCCCACCCCATCCCGCATCCTCCCTCTGTGCCCTGTTCCCATGCCTTCTTTCCAAACCTTTCTGAACTTCTGGCCCTGGGCCAGGGCTGCCCTTGATCGCAAATGGCTTGTTCTACGGTGTGCAAACCTCCCCAGGGTGAGTGATCTCCTTCACCTGGTTCCTCAGAAACTCTTTCTGTCGAGTGGATTTTAATGTGCTGAGGCAGACCCATGTCTGGGTGGAGATCAGAAAGAGGGATCAGAGCAGGTGATTGGCACAGTGTTTATTGCTAGTTTCTCCGACAGCCCCCTCGGCCTTCAGCCCGCTCAGGGGATCCTGGCGAGCCTTTTCAGCATAGGCGGGTGCGCCTCAGGTGGGGGTATCGGGATGGTCTTACAGGCCATCTGCTCCAGGATGGTCATGATAGGGCCGTGAGCCTCCTCACACAGCTCTGCACCCAGGAAGGTTTCCACACGCCTGTGCCAGCTTGCCAGCTGCTGCCGCCCCTCATACAGGTCCAATCCGAGAGCTATGGGCTGTGGGGACAGAGGTGGGGCATTGTGGGGTACTGGGGGCCCAGGCCAGGGGCACTGACCTACACAGGTGGTGTCGGGCACATTTACTGATGTGTCCCCTGCCCAGGTCTCCCCCCGGGGAAGCCCAGGAATGCAGCTGCAGTACAGTCTGTAGGGACTGAGGCTCTGGGCCAGCAGCTGTCTGTCTGTCGGGCCCCAGAGTTACTGTCTGTCCAAAGGGACAGGGATGAGGGATGGGGGATGCCCACAGCCACCAGCCACCTGCATCATCTCCTCCAGCACCATGATGTCAGCCAGGGTCACCTGTTGGCCAGTGAGGAAAGGCTTGTTCCCCAGGAACCTGGCATTCAGCTTGTCCAGTGCCTCCTCTAGGGCAGTTCTGTTGCGACGCACCTTTTCCTCAGGGACCTGGGTTCCAATGAGCGGTGCCAGCACCTGAGGGTGGCAGAGGGTGGCTCAGCCTGTGGCCCCCTCCCCACTCCACCAGCCCCTCCAGGGCATGCCTCACCTTCGTCCACAGCATCACGCCAAAGGTACCCTGAATAAAATCTGCATGCCAGCCCAGGTACTCGTGGACCCGAGCCCGGGCCTGCAGCTCCGCCGGGTACCAATGGTCCTCTGTCTGGTACTTTTGGCTCAGGTAGATCAGGATCGCGGTGCTGAAGCAGGGACACTGCTGTGAGGGCCTGCCTTCAGCCCTAGCC